CTTTTTTACCCTTAGAATATACTATTTGGAAATGTTGAATTCAATTTGCATTATCTCATAAAAAATAATTTTCAACCTCAAAATAATATTGTATCAATACAAATAAAAAATAAAAAAAATTAATAATTAAAAATTACTAATAACTAATCATTAAACGAAATGATTAAAATTAAAAAAATAATTAATAACTATAAAATATTAAAATAATTAATAATTAATAATTTATACAAAAAAAAATTAAAATAATTTTCAAAAATTAATGAAATAATTAAAATTTACTATTTAATAAAAATAATTAATAATTAGTAATGTTTAATAAAAAATAATTATTAAATATTAATAATTAATAAAAAAATTTAATAATTAATGTTAAATAAAAAATATTAGAATAATTAATAAATAATATTATTATTATTACTATTCACCGAACCATTGCTACAAGTTGTAGCAGCAATGGCGGTGGCCAGAAGATAGGAGAGAGAGAGAGAAGAGAGAGAGAGAGATAGAGAGAGCGAGAGCGAGAGCGAGAGAAAGAGAAAGAGCAAGAGCGAGAGAGAAACAAGGAACAACAGAACCACCACCACTGCAACTTGCAGTGGCGATGAGAGAGGGGGGGAGATAGAGAGAGAGTAGTAGAGAGAGAGAAGGAACTGTCATCGCCGCTGCAGCGACGGTGACGAGAAGACAAAGGGGAGAGAAAGAGAAGGAATTGCCACGCTCCAACTTGCAGTAGCGATGACGAAAAGGCAGGGGAGAGAGAGAGAGAGAGAGAGAGAGTGAGAAAGAAGGAACCTCCGCTGCAGCGGCGGTGACAGGAAGGCAGGGGAGAGAGAGAGAGCGAGAGAGAAGGAACCTCCACCACTGCAACTTGCAGCGGCGGTGACGGGAAGGCAGGGGAGAGAGAGAGAGAGAGAAGGAACCTCCCCTGCAAGTTGCAGCGGCGGTGGAGCTTCGTTACGTTGCAGATTTGCAGTGAGGTTCGATTCGAGTTAGGTTGCAGACTCGCAGTGAGGTGCAATGGCAGTGGTGGCGGTGGAGCTTCCTTAGGCTGCAGACTCGCGAGGTTTGATTCGAGGTACACGAAAGACAAAAAACATGTACTATTAAAATTTTTTGAGGTTATTTATGTCTTCTAAATACCTCTGAATTACGTCTGATCCATTAAGCAACAGATCTATGTCTTAGAACTTAAGATCTGAAATCCAATTTCAGACCTCTAATAAGAGGGTATACCAAATGCTTGGTGGCGTCTGAAAAGCAACGTTTTCAGATTCAGACATCTGAAAAGTGCAATCAAACGCCCCCTTAGCAAGAAAATATGTGTCTCAAAATATATAGAAGAACCAAATTGAAACAATTAAAGTATATCGTTTATTTATAAGTTAATTAATTGAGGTAATAAGTATGCTAAGTATTTAAATTAAACAGCATATGGCCATGTTTGTGAGTGCTTATGTTAAAAATTAGTGCTTAGAAACAAGTGTTTATTTGAACAAGTACTTATTTGTTTTTGACACAACTTTTTCAAGTGCTTATTTTAAAAAATAAGCATTTATTTTATATTGGGTGTTTGGTGGTCTTTTTCTCCAATAAGCATTTAAATAAGCAATTGTAACTCTTTTGTCCTTCATTTTCTTTCAAAGTTTCAAAACATCCAATCCAAAGTGAATGAATAAAAGTACTTTGATAGAAATGCTTTTATAAAAGCACTTTTACAAAAGTGATTTCATAAAAGTACTTTGATAAAAGCACTTCCATAAAGCACTTCTATAAAAGTGGTTTTATAAAATCACTTCCGTAAATGTGCTTTTATAAAAGTAGTTCCATAAAAGTACTTCTATAAAAGTGCTTTCAAAAAAGTACTTCTATAAAAGTACTTTTATAAAAGTGCTTTTATGTAAAAGTACTTACACAAATGTGCTTTCGTAAAAGTACTTTTATAAAGTGCTTTTGTAAAAGTGCTTTCATAGAAGTACTTTCATAAAAGTGCTTTCGTAAAAATACTTTACTTTCGTAAAAGTAATTTGCATAAAATTACTTTTATAAAAGTGCCTTTGTAAAATTGTTTTTGTGAAAAGCTTATAATTGGTATCTGAAAATTCAATAGGGACGATTATGTGAGAAAAAAAATTAATAAGTGCTTATTGTATGAACACTTAAAAAAGATAGAAATTTGGGCTTAAAAAATAAGCCCTTATTTTTAAAATAAGAACTTATTTCAATCTTATTTCCCAAACACTAATAAGTGCCTAATGGTGTGGTCCCGCCCAAATAAGCATTTATTTTTAAGCACTCCAAAATAGACTTATTCATGGGTCGGGTCGGGCTTAGGCCAGGCTTTGCCTCTTTATCAATAGAAAATGTGTAGGCCTAAGCCCGTGCCCGGCTCAAGCATCAGGCCTAGATCTTGAGCCCATGCCCGGCCCTCGTATAAAGCCTAAAGACCGAGCTCGAGCTTGAAGCCTGATTTATACACAAAATGTCTTATTTTTAGTGTACTTTTTTAAACTAGTATTATATTATTTTAGTAATAATGTTAACTTTTGTAAATATTTTTTATTTATTTAAAGTTAATCAAAATTTCATTTAAAAATAATAACAATTATTAAAATTACTATTAATTATTAATAAAACTAAATTTATTAGAAAATATTTGTTCATATTAAATTAACAATAATTATTTTTTGTAAATCAACATTAAATGAAAATACAATTGTTAAATTTTAGATATTAACAATAAAACTTTGAATACTTTTAGTTAATTAGCAACAAATTTTGATTATTAATTTAATATTAATTAATAGGGAAAATTCCCAAGGTACTCTGTACTTTAGGTTGGGTACCAATTTAGTACATGAACTTTAAAATACAATAATTTAGTACTTAGACTTTCATTTTGCGACAATCTAGTACCTACCGTTAATGGACCGTTAGTTATATATATCAGGTGACCCCGTGTGCAATTTAAGATTTTTTAAAATATCAAAATTACCCTTAAAAATAAAATACAATGTTCATCATATTCTTTATSAAGAAAATGAAACAGAATACAAAAGACTCGCCGCTGACTGCTTCGCTCTGCTGGATGCATCACATCCCGTATAGCAAGCTAGCTTTTTACCAAAAAATTCAAACATGTGGATGCAAAATGCTATCCTTCTCTATTGTTGCGTAGCAATAGAAGCCTGCTCATGCTTCTTCGGCGGTGCTTTTTCGGCTTCTCATCGCTCTAGATAGGAGCGCTAATGGACACGGGGAGGGAGCAGGCGAGGTGTGTTGTTCGTAATGGAAAGAAAGATACCACTAYTTCGCCTCTTTGTTGGACCGCCGGCGTGAACATTGTGGTCTCTGACCTGGACCAGGAACCAATTTGAATTTGGATCTTGACATGTCGGTGGTTTTTAACCGTAGGCATCTCGCCAGGAAGTTGGTGGGCTCATCATGAATTAGGTCGGGGTGGCTGGTGGTTTCGGTATCCCGTAGAGAAGAAGAGAAGGAGTGCCGCCGCTGTTCAACGAAGCAGACGATGAATAGTGGCGGGGAACAATTCATCGTCAGATAGTGGTTGATCGAGGGAGTGTAGTACCTGATTTCAACAGGTACCTAATAGCTGTTCAGTACCTGATGTGGTTGATCATGGAGTGCAGATTTCAGCAGTGGTTTGATCCTAGTTGGGCAGATAGTGGTGCCACTTGGTTCGTTGCAGGACAGCCCGGGATTAGCTCCAGGGGGAGCGACTCATAGTAAATGTCCACWGATTTCAGCAGATGTTGAGGATAGTTCTGATTCGCTCTCAGTTTAGCAGTCATAGGATCTGAGGTTGCCAGTTTCTGATGGGGATTGCTTGCAGTAGAGAGGCATTCGGAGACAGAGATCACACAGATCGTTTCAGATGGTGCAAGAGAGACTTGCTGGTCGGGGTGTTCGACGATCGTGGTTTCTGCRTGTAGGCGAGCATTCTCGAGAGGGACAAAAGCGCTTCGAGATGTCCATTGCCTTGAGGGGGAGTTGCGTACACTGAAAGGCAGTCTTATAGCCGGCCGTCGATTTTAATATCGTTGCGTACGTTGTTTGCTCGCACCAAGTTTTGGGATCCGWTTGATAAAGAAAACTAGATGAAATTTAAGGGGCATTTGTATCTTTTTACATATCACTTAACSATGAATTAACAAAATCTGATACTAGATTATGGCATTTTAAAATTCAGGTATTAAATTGTCACTCGACCTAAAATACAAGGTATCTATCAAAAATTTTTCTTCAATTAATAATAATTAACTTATTAATTCTTTCAGATTTTCGCTTGCATCGCACTAATCCCCGCTAATATATTAATTAAAACACAATATTAAACATTTGGCATAGGGCCGGCCAAAGTGTAACCGGAGCCCTGCCGTAAAAGTGATATAAAGCTAAACCTAGCTAAGATTTCTCGATCCGATGATATGCCTAGATTAGTGGAGAAATGAAGTGGGGCTGAGAGATAGGGCCCACCTACCTTGAAGGTTCAAAGGATCAAGGCCAGTATTGAGCTATGGATTTCGTGCTGCAAGCGAGTTTAGATGGAGCTTCAATATAAGTCACATATATTCCTTACAAGGATTTCTTAAATATTGTCTATTGAATAGGAGTTGTAAGCAACTATGATTTAAACTATAGATTTAAAAATAAATAAAAAGAAGAAAGAATTTTGTATTGAATCCCTACAAACACTCTATTTCCACCATAAAAGAGGAAATCCAACTCTATTTCTGGATTAATGTACTTTCTTCCCTTGTTTCTATTACTTAAGGTTCAACAGTACTTGTTTTATCTTATTAATTACATGGACAAAACCATGGTGAATACACATGAAATCGCAAGCCTTCAAATTTTGGACTCGGCTGAAATTATGTTTATTTTGATGCATCACTTAATTAGTTGACTTAAATCAATATTAATTTGTTATTGATACATGACTTGAGCAGTCCTGATCCGTGGGTTTTGGTTTGTTGGGACATCACTTGAATCACCCAGATGAATAGATAGATAGTATAGTGTAACAAACAAGATCAACAATTGGATATATTAATTTGGCTGTCAAATAAAATTGATTGTGATTCAGATTGATAAATAGTTGACGCTTCCGAAGGATTTGTATCAAGTGTAGTATCATCAATCGGCATCTCTGGTGGAGAAAGAAAGGGTCTGGGTGGCATTTGTAGAACTTCAATATCTCCTTCCAACATGTCTACAATTCTGTTCATGGAAGGACGATTGACAGGATTCATTTGTATGCACCACAGTGCAACTATCACCAGTTTCTTTGCTATCGTCTTTTCATCATCTGTCGCATCTCCTATTTCGATGTCTTCTCCTTGGCTGACTCTGTCATATATCCAAGATGGGAAATAAAATTGGCTTGAATGATCTCTTGAAGCATTTATAGCCTTCTTCCTGCCTGTTATCTCCAATAATAACATTCCAAAACTATAAACATCTGCCTTATATGTGACGCCACCAATGTTTTTATAGATCATTTCTGGAGCTATATACCCTATTGTTCCTCGTGGAGCTGCAGATAGACTCACAGTTCTGTCATCTGTTGCAAAGAATTTTGCAAGCCCAAAATCTGATATCTTTGGAACAAAGTTGTCGTCAAGAAGAATGTTATGGGGCTTGATATCAAAATGCAGAATTTGTATGTTGCATCCTCGGTGTAGATATTCAATACCACGACCTACTCCTAGGACAATGTCAAGCATCTTCTCCCAACTGAGAGAGATGCTATTTCCTTCTTGGCGAGCAGATATATACTTGTCTAGAGATCCATTGGGCATGAATTCATAAATAAGAGCTCGTTTCGAACCCTCTGAACAGAACCCAATTAGTTGCACYACATTAACATGATGAATCCTTCCAATGGTGGCAACTTCATTGATGAATTCTTGGCCATTACTTTTGGATTGGTCTAACATTTTTATTGCCACAAGATGGCCACTTTTTAGCTTTCCTTTGAACACAGAACCATAACCTCCTTGACCCAGCTTCTCCTTAAAACCTTTAGTCATCTTCTTGATGCTTGAATAAGAATACCTGATTGGCATGAGATTGTTGTGACTCTGTAGGAAGTCCTCAATACTGTCATCCATTGACAAGTGACGTCGTCGTAGCTTATAAATCAAAAACGGGAAGAAGCACATGATACCACATAAAGTTCTTGTTGTCAATAATCCTAAACAAATAAATCACATCATTTTATTAAAAATCACATGAGAAGTGCTTGACCCAAGGTATTGGCTCATTCAATGAAAATTACCATGAAAGTAGCTTACCTACGACTATGAAAATACCCAAAATAACATATCTTGTTAAAGTGACAAAATAACCTAAAAGGGTAAAAAAAGAAAGAATATTAGTAATTAATTTGAGATGCACAAACAATGAAAAGAAATGAGAAAAACTCCATATGCCCCTATTACTGTGCAATTACATCCTTCTACAGGGGTGTTCGAGTTTTCCCAAATAAATATAAAGAGATTTATGGTCCTTACCGAGGCCGACATCATTGTCAGTGATGACATAGAATTTCCCTTGAAAAATATTGGCAAAAAAGCCCAAAAGGTCCGAGACAAAGCCTGCATTGTCCAAGTAAAGAATTGGAGTCAGGCCAAAAATAAATTACATTACGCCCAAACTATTCTTCTTCTCCCTTAATTAAATTCGTGAAAGAATTTAGTAAGTTTGCAATGTATGACAAGGTTAAAAACTAGTTTTAGTGTGAGATTAATTTAAAAGTTATTTTGAAGATATATGTACATGTGTGTTTTCATATAATTAATCAATCAAACCTCATTAGATTTAATTTCTAATGAAATCCAATAAGAAGTGCGATTGAAAATCTATTGTAGAGGTTCAACTCTGAAAAGTTAAATATTTTATTTTTTTATTTTGTCTTTTTCTATATATGTAAAAGGTAACTTTAGTTGGGTTTATTTCTACTTTTTGTAACCTGAGTTAGTCGTAAAAGCGTTTCTATTTGGCTTGCTCTAACTAAGAGAAACCAGAACAAGTATGAAATGATTTCAGCCCTTCTCTTACTCTGTTTTTGTTCTATGTTTTATTTCAATTAAGTGCATGTAAGTTCTCTATTTTAGAACATCTTCTTCACTTTGCATGCACCCACCTTTAGCTGAAACTACAGCCAAAACCTAACAACAGCAAAAGCTGGGAGCAGTAAGTGGTGTTAGTGTGAGTTCAGTTGACGATGCTTCGGATGTCCCCAGAGGGAAAGTTTGCTTGGGGGAGGGGAGATGGGCGAGACAGCCCCAACAGGATCAACTAGGAGTCAGATGGATTCTTAGGGCAAGGAGGGGAGAAGAGTACTAATTATTCGGAACACGAATTAGTGCAATGGGAAGGATATTGGGACTGTTCCTTTTAGATAGCGAAAAGCAAATAAGAGATTCGAACGACAGAGGAAGAAGATGGTGTTCAGGCGATGGAGGCTCGTGAGGAGGTAAGRAGAATCAAGACAACAATGATTCCTTTAATGAAGCTAATGCAAAGTTTGAGATTTGGCAGTCTACCAGCTGGAAAGGGTGATTTGGCTAGCAGACAGAGTATGAATTATGGAGCAAATTAAACTGAGCTATTCTGTTAATAAATTTCCTTTAACGAGCCAAAGGGTGATTTGACTGTACTAATTAACAGTGGGTTGAAAATGTTGATAAAATGTTTGTTTATCTACTTTCTCCGACGGGGATCTATAGGGATAGAGAAATTTCTTACGCACAAGAGTAGGACTGAAATGCTGATCTGCAAAGCCACCGTAGCAGATAGAGGTATGCTTGCCGTAAGCATCATTTTGCACGTAACAATCAAAATCGCAATCTACGCAATCAACGTGAAACCAGAGAGAAAAACCCATTGACATCTTATGGTGGATGTAATGAAAAGAAAAGTTCTCCAACTTCTCCAATTCAATCGGCACAACTAAATTGACTCTGCACGAGTCTGGGGCATCCCAATGACCAAGGTCATAACCCACTAGAGCATAGGAATAGTGCTTTTGCCGGGAGGAGGAGATGGAGGAGTCCACCGAACCATTGATGCAAGTTGACATGTCTACCAAGCAATACTCATAAGAAGAATCGTTATTATGACAACCAAGTGTTTGTGGAGTCTCGCAACGTAGAAGAGAAATGCTGAAGAAGCTGATCGGAAATATATCGCCATGGAGCTGGTATGGTTCTTCGTTACTGAAGTTAAAACGGCCCAATGAATTGTAGCGGAATCGACGACTCGAATTCTATGAGTCTGGTACGAGATCTCCTCCACGTAGTACCTCGCTTGATGCAGGTATAAAACAGTACGGTTGCTCTCGCAGGAGATTTCATAGCGTCGGTCGCCGCAGTCCATGCGAGGATCGCCCTTCAGACGAAATGGGTAGCTTATGTTTCTGATGTTGCCGCAGGAAGGAGAGCAGTGTTCATCTTTTTTGGTTGCAGCAGCAGCAGCAGCAGAAACAGTGTTGCGAGCTACAAAGCAGAGAGCACAGAGCATGGCAGCTTTGATCATCGYCGTGAACCATATCGTATTGACTSTTTTTCTCAATCTCAACATCTCCTCGTGGGGTGAGAGAGAGAGAGTGATACGGGGCGTTGCCGCCTCAGCCACGTCAGCCACTCCGAATATTTCGCTCCAACCACGTTATCCTTCGCAGAGGTTGTTAGTATTGCGTGAGTGTCTTGTCTCATCATTAATGGTATCTGACCGCCCATGATTATAAATGATTGGATCTTGGAAGCGGATGATTGAACTTGTCTTATCATTAGTATCTCTTGGGTCTCGCTTCTGGTCTTCCCCTTCGAGCATCTTGGTATCGGAGCAACGAACCCCTCGGCAGCTCAAATACCGGCAAGGAAGGATTGCGTAAGAAGCTTGGAAAAATCCCGTGAGGAAATGAATATGAAGTTCACTGAAATGTTGGAGCGTCTAAACTACATTACTTCATGAATGGACCAATAGGAGGAGTCTCAGCACCAGTCGTCTACTGGTGGTGGCTTCGGGAAGGGGASGGAGAGCTCGGGGGCAACAGGGAGCAGCTTCATCTCCCCGCAGAATTTCTGGAAGGTGGAACTGCCGAAGTTCAGAGGCACTGGGCTGGACGAGTGGCTTCTCCTCATCCAACAATACTTCCGCCTACAGGAGGTACCCGAGGAGAGCTGGGTTGCAGTGGCGAGCCTTGGATTTGAAGGACGGGCATTGGAGTGGTGTAGCAGGTACAAGGATCATCAAGCTGAGCCCACTTAGCGTCAATTTACAGTTGCCTTGGATGCTTGATTCAATGGGCCCCTGGGAAGCAACCATGTGGGGCGGTTGGTGAAACTCTCTCAAACCTCCACCATCCATGAGTATATGGAGGTGTTCCAGAGGATTTCCAGTCGAGTGAAGGGGCTGAACGAAGAATCTCTAGTCGGGTGTTTCATTGTGGGTCTCAAAACAGACATACGAGCAAGGGTGGAAAAGTTCGTACCAGTGACTTTAGCTAGAGCCTTTCGCTTGGCGCTGTTGAAGGAAGAAGAGTGGGCAGCTCGAAGACGGACAGTTAGGCCGGAGCACTTGCGACCACGTCCTATAGCGGCAAACGACCCTTAAGTGAGCAGGTCGTCTCCAAGGAGTTTTTCGGAAATTCGTTGTCTCACACCAACGGAAATGAAAGAGAGGTGGGAGAAAGGATTATGCTACAACTACGAGGAACGCTATGTCCATGGCCACTGGTGCAAGGTACAAAAGTTGTTGTGGATCAACTAGGAAGCGGAGGAGGAGGAAGGTGACGACCCTAGTCTGACCCTAGAGGAAGAAGAACTGGAGCCTACACCGACCATCTCCCTACATGCCATCTCCGGGGCTGAAACCCCACAGACTATGCGACTACGAGGAACGCTATGTCCATGGCCACTGGTGCAAGGTACAAAAGTTGTTGTGGATCAACTAGGAAGCGTAGGAGGAGGAAGGTGACGACCCTAGTCTGACCCTAGAGGAAGAAGAACTGGAGCCTACACCGACCATCTCCCTGCATGCCATCTCCGGGGCTGAAACCCCACAGACTATGCGCTTAAATGGGACGATAGGGGCACTTCCGGTGACCATTCTCGTGGACTCAGGATCTTCACACAACTTCATGGACCTGAGGGTGGCGACGAAGGAGAGGGTGGCGCTGACTTCCAACGTCAGGTTGCAAGTGATGGTAGCAAACAGGGATCAGGTATCCAGATAGGGCCACTGCGATGGAGTCCGCATCTAGACACAAGGGGCTGAGATCACTACAGATTTCTTCTTGTTATCGTTGCCTGGATTGGATGTCATTCTCGAAGTCCAATGGCTTTGGACCTTAGGCCCAGTCACATGGGACTTCAACAGCCTCTCCCTAGAATACCAAGACCAAGTCAACATTCACCTTTTGCATGGCCACTGACCCCCTGAGCTGATAGTTGGGGATCGAATGGAGAAACAGGTACACAAGTCTGGGAGTTGTTTCCTGTTACAGATATTAGACAACCACAGCATGACGGAGACCACCACTAATTCCGGGATCCAATCAGTACTAAAAGAATTCAAGGAGGTCTTTGAAGAGCCAGTGGGTCTACCTCCTCCACAGGCCTTGGATCATGCCATTYCGTTGCATCAGGAGGCAGCACCAATGTGTGTGCGTCCTTATCRGTATCCCCATTATCACAAAGGGGAGATAGAGAAACTGGTCCAGGAGATGCTCAACCATGCGATCATCCGGCCCAGCGCAAGCCCATTCTCCTCACTAGTGCTACTAGTGAAGAAGAAAGATGGAGGCTGGAGATTCTGTGTAGACYACCGGCAACTGAATGTAGTAACGGTGAAGGACAAATATCCAATGCCTAACATTGACGAACTTTTGGACGAGCTGCACGGATCYCAGATTTTCTCCAAGTTGGACCTCYGAGTCGGGTACAATCAAGTCYGAGTACGGGCCTYAGATRTTCCTAAGATAGCATTTCRAATGCACGACGGACATTAYRAATTTCTGGTGATGCCCTTCGGGTTGTCCAATGCACCGACCACCTTCCAAGCRCTCATGCATGAGGTCTTTCAGGGGTTTCTGAGGAAATTCGTCCTGGTTTTCCAAGATGACATCCTGGTCTACAACCGATCAATAGAAGAACATATCAAGCATCTCCTATCTGTTCTGGCAACTCTCAAGACCCACAAATTGCACGCTAAGAGAAGCAAGTGCTGCTTCGGGGTGGACAGGGTAAGCTACCTCAGACATGTGATTTCAGTCGGCGGGGTGGAAGTGGATCCTAGTAAAATCAATTGTATGGTGAAATGGCCCAGGCCCAACTCCCCTACAGAACTAAGAGGATTCTTGGGACTCACTGGGTACTACCGGAAGTCTGTCCAAGATTATGGAAAACTGGCTCGACCACTGACCAGACTGCTTAAGAAGGGTGCTTGGGGTTGGAACCCAGAAGCCGATGATGCTTTCCAAAGGTTGAAAGAGGCCTTGACATACACTCCAGTACTGGCATTACCAGATTTCAATTCTCCCTTCGAGCTGGAGTGTGATGYGTCAGGTGCTGGCATTGGCACCATTCTATCACAACAGGGGAGATCGATAGGCTTCTTTAGTCAGGCACTAAACCCCACCAATGCAGCCAGATCTACATACGACAAGGAACTCTTAGCAATTGTAATGGCTATCCAATGGTGGCGGCAGTATCTCTTGGGGCAACAATTCGTAGTTAAGAGCGATCATCAGAGCTTGGGATACCTGCTCCAACAGAGGATCACCACTCCCTACCAACAACGACTCCTCAACAAGATCATGGGGTATGACTTCACATTGCAATATAAGAAGGGTCGGGAGAATGCTGCAGCAAATGCGCTATCCCGCTACGTTGAAGGGGAAGTGTAGGCCATCTTGAGCCCATCGCCGTAGTGGGTGGAAGAGTTATGCCAGGAATAAGAGTAGGATGAATGGGTGAAAGGGTTGATAGAAAAGATTAAACAGCGATAGGCCCCCAACACAAAGTACATCTGGAAGAATGGACCAATATAGTGAAGGGGACGTGTGGTTCTTGGGCCAACCTCTGCCTATCGCCGGAAGCTGTTTACCAAAGCTCACTCCAGTCCCTTGGGAGGGCATGTTGGTTACCACAAGACAATGCAACAACTGGGAAGGATCTGCTTCTGGAAAGGGTACCGCAGGCAAGTGCGTCAATGGATCTGTGAGTGCGACACATGCCAGCGGAACAAGAACAAAAACATTCCCACTCTAGGACTACTATAGCCCTTGTCGATACCGAAGTACGTTTGGAGAAACCTATCGATGGATTTCATCGACGGACTGCCGCCTTCTAATAAGAAGTCAACTATCATGGTGGCGGTCTACCGATTGACCAAGTATAGCCATTTTGTTGCCCTATCACACCCCTACATGGCTCAGGTGGTCACTCATGTGTTCATGGAGCACATCTTCAAGCTTCATGGGATGCCCAGTAGTATCGTGAGTGATCGGGATCCAATCTTCACCGGAAACTTTTGGAAGGAACTGTTCCGTCTCCAAGGTACACAGCTACAGATGAGTTCGGCCTACCACCACCAGTCTGACGGGCAAATTGAGCTGGTAAATCGAACCTTGGAGGCATATCTACGCTACTTCACCGGACAAAGCCTGCAAACTTGGACCAAATGGCTAGCCTTAGCAGAGTGGTGGTATAACACCTCTTACCACTCCGCCACCCGCCCCACCCCGTTTTAGGCAGTCTACGGTTGCCCTCCTCCCAATCTTCTCACCTACATTCCCGGTACCACCAAGGGTCAAGCAGTAGAAGAAGGGTTGAAGGATCGAGAGACGGCGCTGATGAAGTTAGAGGAAAACTTAGCTCGGGCACAGGAAAGGATGAAGCAGCATGCAGATCGACGGAGGACCGAGTGAGAGTTCGAAGTAGGGGATGAAGTCTTCTTAAGGCTACAGCTGTATCGACARACTTCCGTCGCTGCCCACCGCTCACAAAAGCTATTGGTCAAATATTACGGCCCTTACACCATCACCGAGTGTATTGGGCCGGTAGCCTATAGGCTGGCCCTTCYCGTAGAGAGTCGGATACACCCGGTGGTTCATGTGTCATGGCTGAAAYGCTCGGTTGGGGATCCAGCCCGTATTCGACCCAAACTACCACCACTTACCCCTAGAGGAGACCTTCTTCCTCACCTGAAGGTAGTGCTCGATAGGCATATGATAAAACAGAAGAACCAGGCAGTCACTGAAATCCTCGTGCAGTGGAAAGGAACGAACCCGACCGGTGCAACGTCACTACCCGACAGCATGCCTCAAGGACAAGGAGTTTCCCGAGGAGGAGGGTATGATACGGGGCGTTGCCGCCTCACCGTAGCCATGTCAGCTACTCCGAATATTCCACTCCAATCACCTGATCCTTCGTACAGGTTGTTAGTATTACGCTGAGTATCTCATCATTAATGTAACAATCTCCGACCGCCCATGATTATAAATGATTGAATAATGGAAGCGGATGCTTGAACTTGCCTTATCATTAGTATTCTCTTGGGTCTCACTTCTGGCCATCCCCTTCGAGCGGTGATTCTCACCATAGCTCGGAGAAACTCGAAGCTCTCTCCCCGGCAACGGGAAGAGGTTCTTAACAGAGAGAGAGGGAGGTCTAAAGTTACCTGAATTGCTCTTCCTCAATCTCAACTTCCAGCCGTTTATTATCAAATGGAAAAAAATCAATTTTTTGATCATCTCAATTTTGTAAAACCCAAGACATGCCAAATGCTCYTKAGACAATCAAAGTAAACACTGAAGAATCTGGCTGAACAGTCGGAAAATTTCGGTCAACTATGTGGTAAAAATCATACAAGTATACATTCTCATTTAATAATTAAAATGTTTCACAAAATTTTGATTTGTTTTATAGGTAAAAATCTGTATGAATATTTAATATTTGCGAAATATAAATATAGTTTTAAATATTTAAATATATTTATAAAATAAAAAGCTATCCACTTTTTTCCTGCTTTTAAACTTCACAAATAATTACGTATTATGCATTATTTTACGAATTATACTCACATTTTTTCCAGATTTCTTGAAACCTACAATTTGGGATACTTTCTCAGGAAAAAAAGAAAATGATAAAAAACTCAATRCACATACTGTACCTTAATTTGATAGTTATAATGTAAAATAAGGTTATTTTTCGTTTGACAATACTGATTTAAAAACCTGTTCAAGAGATTGTCAACCAATTAAAATTTGTGATTCAATTTGCAAACCTTACAATTTATCTACTTTCTCTACCAAGGTTTTAAAAGGCTAAAATTATAGTTGAGGCATAATGGCCTAAAAAGGTGAGGGTAAGCCTCAAAACTTAAGAAAAAAATTAACTGAAGTTTTTAAATTGATAAAAATAAAATATAATTAATCAACTAACAATTATAAATGTCTTACATTTTCATGTTTCAATATACAAAGTTTTTGAATTATTCAAATGACCAATTTAGAAGAAATGAAACAACTTAGTCTATTTGATTTATGCAAAACAATCAATAAAAAGAAAATGCATCTATTAGGAAAAGAAATAAAAAATAAAAAGCTTGGGATGTTAGATTTAAAATAATAAGAAAAAAATCTATCACTTGACTTATGCAAGAGAAATTAAGAACTTGATTGCCCCTTTTGCATTCATCTCTTTTAAAACACTTGAAAAATTAAAATGCTTATTT